GTTGTGGTATGTTGTGGTTAACCAACAAAATGTGTCAGGGCAGTCTATTCACTCGAGCCCCACTTTGGCTGGAAATCGCCATGGTGACTGTTTTGCGACAGGAAGATACCTGCAGGGCATCAGATTTCTGGGCCATTGGCCCTGTCGATTGTCTTCCATACTACCTAACCATTGCCAGCACTGGACCTGCCTTGTACAATCGATACCAATGTTCCTGTGGTGCCAAGGAAGGATTTCGCACCCGCCTTAGAGTTCGGAGAGTCTGCCAGGAAAAGCGCTCGTGCTTCTCATCCAAACATACCAGCATCTTAAGTGGAAACACTGTGCTCCAATCGAAAATTACCACCTGAAATCCATCAACTGGGATCTGTATGCTGATACTGGCTTCCGAATTGACTCTTTGCCAACAAAAAAAACGTTTCATGGCCAAGTCACCATTGCGGCCCCTGGAACCTCAATTCTTGCAGCACAGAGGAGATCAGAGAGGTGGGGAACGCCATCCATGCCGAGTCGCTGAAATCCGCAAAGCTCCGTGGCATCGCAAAGGCCATACGAAAGCGCGCGGCTCTCGGCGCGAAGCTCATGGATCTCCTTGAAGCAACGGTTCGGAAATCGATGGATTTGAAGCTTTTAAGCCGTGAAAAGTGGGAAAAAAGCAGTCAGAATGGCACAATTTGGATCAAATTGGGAATGTTTTACCGGCGAAAACTGCGATTTAGCCAGCAAACTTGGGTCTTGAACAACTAGAAATGGGATTTGACCAGCGAAAATTTGGATTTAAGAAACAATGAGGATGAACAGCAAAATGGATTTTAGCCGGTGAGAAGGGGTCTCGGCACCTGTGCAGCGGCAGCCCAGGGTAGTGGCGCTTTGGCCGGGAGACGACACTCAGCCAGGTCGACCTGTCGTGATTTTCAAAGATCGTGTCTCCCCCAAGATGATGCAGAAATTTAGAATCCATGAGTTGAATAGTGATAAATTCCTGGTTGTTTTCCTGGATTTCCTCTTGGAAGGAAACTGACCTGGCAATGGAAAATCAGCCATTCATTATTTATTGATGATGTTTCTTCATGCAAAATTGGGAGTATTGACATGTTGGATCAGCAAGGGGGAAATTGAAGTGAAACGAAGGGAAATGTCCATTTTCAGCAAAATGCATCAAGGGTGTTGATGCTTCCCGTTTTGTTCGCCAAATGTTGAAGGGGAATGGGTACTAGTAGTACTGCTGGGACCCTCAAAACCTTTACAATCCTTGCAAATTGCATGGCAGGTTTCGATCAGCTGCTCAACGATTCCTGATGATTTGCCATTGAAAACTCTGAGCAGCAGAGGCTTAAACAATCCAACCTCAGATCCACGTCACATTGAGCACTCCAACATACTTGGTGGCCCCAGTTATCAACGGACCCCACTTACCCCATTCAGAACCGGGGTTTTACGTTACATACAGTTGTTCCAGGATTTTCCCAAATGGCAATCTTTCTAGGAAATATGTTTTATATATATATATATGTATAATGATTGAACAGCGGATACAACGGGTGGTTTCCCAACACGTTCAGACAAATCCAAATCATTTTGTTGGTTATCTATAATATAACACATCTAATACAGAATCCCCATGAAGTATATCCCCGTCAATGGTTGGTTTAATCCCCATTTACGGAGGAACCCAGCCATCACACCCTCACAGCTCGTGCCGCACCTCCCAAGCCCCTTGCGCCGGGCCCCAGCGTGCTGAGGCCAGGAAGAGACGAGGCAACCCCTGGAAGGCTGAGAAGCAGACGGACCATGACCTGAGGCGTGTGGACACAGCTGGGGGAATGTTAACTCATATTTTTTGGTACCCAGAAAGGTTGGGTTGGTTAATCACTCTGACCACTATGAATCAGTGTTTTAACCGTAGTTGGATTAAATCTTAGTTAAAACTGAAACCAAACATACGTTGCCATTAAAGCAAGAAAATTTGGGGTCTGTCCAACATTAGGGTTTTACAGAAACAAAAATACCAAAATTGGCGGCTTCTTCGGGTCTACAACTTTGACCTATCACCCGGCATCGCACCAAAATGTTGAGCTCAAAGCGATGAATTTGCAAATACTTGTGATTGCGTCAAAAGTCAAACTTGCCCTCCCTTCAAACATGTCATGCCGATGCATGTTTGAGATTCCCGAATTTGGGAGACAGATCCGTTTGTACAGAAGGTGTCGCCAAGCTGCATGTAGAGGTGTTCATGGTTCGTCTGCACCTCGGCCAACTGTCAGCCATAGCCACTGTGGCCGGTCATGTGTTCTTTGAAAACTGAGAGTTTTTGCCGGGCTATGTCAAAGTTCACCACGGCACTTCTGGGTTTCATGTGGTTGAGCAGTCAATTCTGACTTGCACTTGTTTGACAAATGAAATCAATGTGGCATGTGTTGAACTGCATGGCTTGACATGCTTGACCGTGTTTGACATTTTACCTACAGCAGCTTCCGGAACCTGCTGCCAGGCAACTCCATTTGCATGGGTCACCATCGCCTCGACTCCAACCATCAAGTGGCTGCACCACCTGACGCTATGCGCATCGTCTGATATCAGCAGGATTGGGACTGTAGATCAAGAATGACTCATGGATAACTGTGAGACCTATTGGTTTGCGATTGGCATCGCCATTCTGCTTTCGACTCGACAACATGAAAGCAAGAATCCAGTTCAATGCCATGGGGTCGCCAACTCATATCCCTGCTAACGACTGTGGTTGAGATTGCTTCAAACAAAGAAGCCATTCGCTATTGGTGTGAGCCATGGCCAACACTTGACTTCACACCACTCTAGAAACGTCGCCGTGAAAACCACCTCTCTTGCAAAGGGCCAAAGCGCGGGTCGTGCTGAAAGCCGTCAGGAAGGCAATTCCTCAGCAAGCCAAGAGTTTTTGGCAGTCCCGCAACTTTCACAGCAAGCACTCCAACACCGACACAGCTATCTCTTGTTGGTCAAAAAAACACTCCAGCACCAGCTCAGCCATGTTCGATCCATATAGTCATCCTGATCACTGGCGCCCAAGGAGCTGAATGATCATCTGCAAAAATCGGCCGCTTGGCTTCAGTGGTTGGACAACTGCGTGAGATCCAGGGCTGAGCAAAAGCCGCGCTTGTTCGAAGGCAACTTGCCGCTGAGCCTGTTTGACACAGGGGCTTGTAGATACATGCAGGTAGCCAGGTTTCCAAAACAAGAAAATGATATGAAACCAGCAAGTGTGGAAACCGGCCAGATTTTCATCCAGGTTCGGGCGCCAAGCTTTTGAAACACCGAAAATCTCACACTCCTTCCACCACTGAGTCATCTTACAGTACTGGCGATGACTTGGAGATTTCCAGAAAGCACAAGGATCCCAACTCTACACGGATCCAAAGACAAGATTTGAGACCAAACAAACACAGCTTTGGGATTCAATCTTTAGCCGACTTTGGTAATGAACTAGCCGCAACTAGCCATGCTCCGAGTGCCCGCACCTCATCTGGCTCTTCCAACAGCTTTCGGCGCGCCAGCCACAGCTGCTTCCAGGGGCCGCCACCTGATGCATCCGTGAAGAAACTTGGAGTACCCCCTGGCAGCCCTTGGCACACATTTCCATCATTTTCCATCATTTTCCATCAATCCATCCATTTTCCCCCCAAAAAAAGCTCTGTGCATATCACTGAAGCAACATCTCTTCTGCATGGAGAGAAAAACTTTCAGAAAACCTTCCAGGCCTTTCACAGTCGCCAGCCCCTTCGGCACTCGGGCAAGCGCCAGTGGCGGCCGCGCGCCCAGGCTGCACAAGTGGACAAAGCGCCAAATGCCCGACAGCTTGGTGCCCACCTCATCCAGCAGAGGTTTCCATCCGCAAAAGACGTGGTGTCTGGGTGAAACATTGGGGAACCCCCTTAAATAGGGCAGATTACCAGTTGCTTCCCCAAAAAAGTTGCCAAAATCTGTCAAGAGGGGTCCTATCATGTCATAGACGATCAGTCTTCCTGATAGTCGCATCAAGGTCGAGGACGAAAACTGATAGCGAACCCACCAGAACCCTAGTTTTGGAAGATAAGAATTGCAAGTGTGCCCATACCTGCAACCATGCCACTTGGATTTCTTTCAATATATCTTTGTATATGAATTTGTCTGAAAATGGGGTACCCCATTAAATACCCACTTTTAGACACATCCAAGTATCATATCTTCTAGGATTTACTGGAAAAAAACATTGCTTTACCACCAGATGTCCCCATGACGTTTCATGCCATGGCACTAAGCGCCGCCACCAGGTGCTGCAGATCTCTAAGATAGTCAGGCTGATGCCGTCCAGGAAGCAGAGCACCTGCAGGTGCTGGGGGTTGCACCCTGTCCTGGCTGTAACATTTTAACCATGATTGTTTTGTAGAGACATATCTGATATTATCTGATACAGTATCATCTGATATCTATATCAAATACTATTGTATATAACTTGCAGAATGATACAGCCCACTATGAAATGGTACTAACCAACAAAATTATTCATTCAACCTCGGAACAGTGGTGGAAGCCGACTTCGAGGTCTACCCATGTTCCTTGACGTTTACCCATCCGACGTGACTGGGACTCATAGTTATCATGGCCAAGGCCTCACCCAACAAGGCTTCTGCGAATTCCAGGAACCAGTTCAGCATGCAGCAGTCCCCTGGCAGCATCGGGATATAGATCCCTGGTGTTTCAAGTGGTCCGCGAAAAAAAAGGCTGGATCATGGGTATCCCCATTCTTGACCCAAAGAGGATGTCCGAATACAAAAAGGGCAGAGGGAATCAGCGACCCCTGCGACCGCACCTCGTGCGAAGTCTGGTGCCACGCATGGTGCTGTGAACTTCTGGGCCGGCAGAGAGCTCTCAGCATCTTCTAATGTGGGAGTCTGCATGGCCTAGCAGCACTGCAAAACGCCAGACAGTCAGTTGATTGTGCAATGAAATTTACAACTTCTTCGTGCCCAAACCAACCAAAAATGAATGATGGTTTCCCCAACCCACTGTTGGTTGCAGTGTTTTTTATCCACCTCCCTTCAGCCATACCCTGTCTGAATCACGAGGGTTTGTTTGAAAAAGGGCGCAAAACAAAAAGAATACTATTTTGGGGTCAAGTATACCCTGTTTTTGGATCAACCCATCCATATTGTTATGATATCTCCCCGCTATATCCCATAAAATGGTTGCATAAATCCCATAATTGCGGTTGCTTAAAGATTTCTGCCCATGTACCAGAGATGTATTTCCCTATGGGAGCAACCACAGCCACCCGGCGCACCCGGCCTGGGTCAATGCCTGTCGTTGCTCCAGCTGCACTCGCCGCAGTTCAGCTTGCTGCATCTCTCGAGACTTGCGCAACTCGGCTTCCTGGGAATCTATATCTCACCTTGGGGATACACCATCAATATGGGATTCTATACCCATTACGTGGAAAGTGTACCCATGGGAAATTAGATATAAATGTGGAGATATGTGGAATATTTGTGGATGGATCTTAAAGGAAAATCTACAGGAAACCATCCAGTTCTGATATGGTGGTTTCCGAAGAGGAACAGAACCAAGCATGGGACAATCATTACTGTATCACGAAGAATGTTTGGAATAGAAATGGGAGGCAAGCGGCCATTGAATGGGCATATGACCCAAAGAAAATGTATAAGATGGAATATCACCATCACCAACAATGGTGGGTATGTATGTATGTCACTGAACATCAGCCGACTAAACCAGCCCCAAAAGCTCCTTGCGACGCTTCTCTTCCAAAGCCCGTTGCAGGGCTAGGCGCTTCTCTTGTTGCCTGGAAAAAATGGCATTGTTATTTTCAATGCATCCTGAGGGTAGAAGGGAATCCTGTTACGCTTCAAGCAAACACCAAGAGTTCAAATTTTGAGTCGGTGGTATTTTGAGTCTTGAGCAAGGCAAGGATATACTGATATACTGCTGACACGCCCAACAGCTTGGATACTTGCAGCCAGGCAGCTCTTGACGTAGAGTCTCCTGTCCGAAAGGAAAGGTCTTGAATGCAAAATTGAAACGACACAATGCCAATGAATACATATGAATACCACTTGTGAAAATCTTGGGTGCTGCTTCCCACACTGCAAACAGTCTGACTTGAATTCAGCATTGGTCTAATACTGGGCTACAAATGCTGCAGCAAAACTGGTCACAAAGCTGGTCGTTCTTCCTATCTTGCACCTTTTCACTGGGGGCATCCCTCTGCTGCTCAAGTTCCCATGCGTGTCGCTTAAATCCGTCCGAACTTCCCGCTTTTATTCTGGGTAAGACTCTAAGACCAAAATTTCGCCAAATTTCAGCCATGCCCAATCCTTCCACTCCCAGCCTGCAATCCAAAGTCCGCCAAAACCCCATCCACCGCATCGCACCCGGCACGGCAACTCACCAAACGGTCGTCTGCTCGGCCTGTGGAGATACATGGAGCATGCGGATGGGAAGTAAAAGCCACCAAGATTGGAAAACCACCCGGAAAATTCGGAGAAATCATGCAAAAGCTGGTGTTTGATCGTTATTCAACCTCATGAAATTTCTCAAGATGGGGGTGGAATCGGATTAAAATTGGCATGTACATAAGTACCGACCATACTTCCCCTGAAAAAATACTCAGTGCGTATCATCAAATCAAGTAGGTATGAAAATGTACCGCTAAAATGAAATACAAATCACAAATCACCACGACAACAACCACAGGTCAGCTAGTGGTTCAGGGCCAGAGGCTGACATACCATCACGGTCTCCAAAATAATCATCATTTGTGGCCAATTTAATTGCCAAACATCATCCAAAAAAACAGTTTCCCTGCAAACCCTGAAATTTTCCCCACCAAGTCTCTTCCAGTAGTTCGTTGATGTCCCCATATTTTACGGCTAATAACTCAATATTTATCAACAGCCTATCAATGGATATCAATCAGTTAAACTGTGGCGGATTAACATCAGTGGCTCTTTACAACCCGATGAATATCAACCCAAGACTATTGATATTTTCGACCACTCATAACCCTTAAGATCCCACCTCACCTAGGAATTTCATTTCCCATTCCCAACTCGTACTCAATTTCCAGATGCACCTGGCGACAAATGCAGCGATTCCAAGACAGCGCGCAGCCGCGAGGCCCGAGCGCAGCCGACCAGCTCCATCGTGCGACGGCGCGTCTGGCTGCGCAAGGACCTGATGCCAGGGATTAGGGGCTGGAAATATGGTAACCATAGGGGTAAACCACCGTAAAATCGTAGGGCAAGCATCGGATAATCATAAGATAATAATGGGACATGGATAAGTGGATAATTGTACTTGATGACAAAAGGATGATGGAAGAGCAGTGGGATAAATCCTGTTGGTAAGAAGAGAGAAGTCATGGTCCCTCCTGGCCATCATTCATTCACGCACTAATTGTGACACCGTTTATCCTAGTTGAAAATTGACGGCGCCATGGAGTACCGATCGATTTAATCAACCAATGTGCGGGAAGCGGGGCATCAACTCTGTTTCGTCCAAGAATTGGGTTTACCCAATGAGATCAATCATCAAAATTCGCCAAGTACATGATTAGTATGATTAGTCTGAAGGGGGCACCCGCAATTCCAAATAACTGCCATCATGTTTGCCTTGCAAAGGACATGTCTCGTCAAACCCCCCGAGTTGCTCATATCCCACCGATTTCAAGAGCAAAAAAATCTACACGTGTATAATATATCCATATATATATATATAAGAATATATTATCTAAAAATAATTTCATACATACGTATCTCTCTCTCTCTCTTTCTCTCTGACTGGTACCCCCATTTTTCAGCTGCCACCCACCCAAATCGCCTCATGAGGAGATCCCGCAGACCTCCCAGCAAAGTAAGCAGGTGCAGCTCAGCGCGCTTGAGCAGCACAGCATGGTGCTGGGACAGTTCCACCTGGCGACCCAGGAGATGGCTGACTGGGGGGCACCATACATGCACTGGTGGCTTTCCCACTAAAACAGTACGAGTCTGGAATCTAGCGACGAGTTGCCTGGCTATCCACTCGCAGAACTCCTCCACACAAAATGACAACAATGATGGCCGCACCTCCATCAGAGATGCCTCGAGGTGATCGAGCAACTCGTCAAAGGTGGATTCTGTCGGCTCTTCCTTTGAGTTCAGCAAGAGACCCCGCTCTGTTTTGGAATGGACAACTGGTTTTTCTGATTCTGGAAAGGGGTGATTCCAACTTCGGTAGGAACCCAACCTTTCTGAGTCATGTTTACCTCTTGGCTTTCGGAGTCCCGACATTCCAGCAGACAGTGCAAATTGAAATTTGATGATCCTCTAGAAACAAGTCCAGGGCTACCCAGCAACAAGAGCTTTGGATTTGAAGATATTCTTGCCAATTTTTGTTGTTGGAAACCTTCAACTTTGTCTAGATTTTGCCAGGTGGTTCTTGGTCCAATGCCCGGCTGCATGACCTGACCCCGTTCCAGTCCTCGGCTGAGGCTGCACGCAAGGTCTCGGAAATGCTGCGCCTTGCAGGCTCCTGGTCGAGACATGCTACACTCCCTGGCAACAACAAGGCACAGCTGCGAATGAACAACTCACGCAATTCATACTTGAAAGGGCAAGTAGGATCTCAAAATATCTCAAAATAAGATATTGCAAGAGCTGTCCTCGCGTCTTCCGTCTTATTTTTTTCCAACCCTTGAACCCCCCACCTGCAGCTCCGACTCTTGTGGCTGTTGCAGCTCTGCCGATTCGATGGGAGGCTCTGGAGGCACTGGTGCATGCGCCTGCTGGGGCTCCAAATCAGGTTCCTCAACCTGTGATTCTTCGGACCTGGACAAGCGCAGCCCAGGGGATGCCAGGCGGGCTCCTGGAGTTATACAACCAAAGTCTTGAAAGTGAATGTTGCTGTTCAAAGTTGTGACTCATCAACGCCCAATACCAACCTGAGAAAGTTGTGAAAATGGAATGGGCGAAGTGCGGAGACAGAATTTCCAAGTGAGCAGTGTTACCCCTCTGTCGTCCCTTAATACTCTTTGCTTGATATAGGATTTTACATGATGGAATGTGATAATCCAAAACATTGGATAGCAAAACCCAATACAGTACAATAATTGATCAACAGTGGTTTTGAACACTGCAAAGCTCCTTTTCAAAATGCTGAAGATGCTTCCACCTGCGGCCATTATCGGTCCATCCTACCCTGAAGTCCTAGCATCCAGTTCTTGATCTCTCCATGGTTTCCGCATGCATACGGTATGCCAAACAGAAACAAAATACGGTGGCTTCCCATCAATTTAATTCAGCTAGGGCACGAGCAAGGCTCTGAAGCTACCAACTGCTCCACCGGCTGCTGCACCGCAAGGAGTGGCTCACTCGACTCCAAAGCCGCGGAGCTTCCCGGAATCTGGTGAAGATCCTGGAGATAAATGACAACCAAATACCAAATAAGTGAACCCTCTGGACAGGCAATCTACAGTATTAAAAATGTTAAGCAACTCCTCAAGATCCATGGAACTGTTGCAACCCTGCGACAACGGGTAAATGGGGAATGGGACACTGCCCAGCGGAAAACCATTCTGCTAGGTGCATCAGTTTCCTTGCCTCAGAAAGCGCCGCCACCTCAGAAGGGGAGAAGCCACCTGCAGATGTCAGTTGCAGCGAACCTCTTCATGGTCCCACGCCACAAGATCCCCTGTCAGTGGGAGTTTCTGTAAAGCATACTGTGGAATGAATTTCAACTGCCCAACATTGTCATTGCTTCTCCTATCCAAAAATTGTTCAAATATCCCGGTGGACATGCAGGCCCGTCCTTCATCAGCGCTGGCCGGCGAAGGGGGTTGGCTCTTGGCCTTTGTCCCTGACGGCAAGGTGCTGCAAATGCTATTCTTTGGCTTGGTTCTCTCAAGGGAAACCTACTGGAAAACATTGCTTGTACATTCTTTTATCCTTAAATCAAACCTTTCATACAATTCCAGGACACAGGCTCCGTCCTCCAAGCTAGGAGACCCAAACATGTCAAGAACACATCAACAAAAAACTGAAACCAAAAAAAATGTGAAGGAAACCCACCTGCCTTCATCTTGTTCCCCTCCCCACTCCACAGCCGGCTTGCGCCGTCGCAGCAACTTTGGCGCCGCGGTAGGGGGGTCGCTGGTCGAGACGCTGGACTCGACATGTGAGAGCCATGCCTCCCTTTGAAGTTGCACGGCCTGCGCTGGGTTCAAAAAACCATGGAAACTGGGCGAAAATTGAGACTTCCCAGCTTCATATCTTGATCATATCTTGATCATTTGGGGATTGAGTCGGACATTGAAGCTGGTCCACTGGTTGTTTTTGTTCTGCAGGATAGAAATCACATTTGACAATTCTTGTGAGGTTCGAAGTGGGTCTTTCCCCATGTTTGGACCTGCCGATGTGAGAGTGGAGTTGAAGTCTATGGGGATGCACACGCAACGGGGAAAGACAGCTCAGTGCAGCGAGAACATGGATACCCCCTGGTTTTTGTATGTAGGCAGATAGAATCACTAAACAACAGGGAGGTCCATCAGTTCATGAGGGGGATTTACCACTATTTGACCACGATTGTGATGTTTAACCATAAAAAAGGGGACAAATTCTGCGGGGTCTTCTATCAATTCCTCTATCGATCACCCTGTGCATCCTGGCCTCACGTGAGCTGTGGCTTCTGCGTTGCCACAGCTTGAATGCTGCATGTGCCTCAATGCTGGGATAGCGGATGAGTCAGTTTTGTGGGACACCAACTGGTGGGAGGTGTTCAAGAATGCTGGGGTTGAAATATCTGGCTCGGGAAAGCACAAAATCCAAGGCCCTGAAGACTATAGGTTCTTGGTATACTTTTGGGGTTCTGGTTTTTAATGGTTTGTTAATCAAATGTAACAAATCCCACTTTGGGGTCCAAATCACCTGTCTGTCCCCTTCCAAGGCGCAGCTAAAAGGGCCAGCGCAATCACCAGGAGAAGAAGTCCGAACTCCATGGAGATGTGCGGCCTCGAACTAAACGCTGCAAACGTTGCCCTTTGCTTAACAAAGTGCAGCAGCTTATAATCCCTTGAGCCCAGAGCCAGGATGAATCAGGAGCAGGAACAAGGAACATGTCTGGTAACCCCCTCGTGGCTAAGAGACATGTTCAAACAAAGGCACCAAAAGAAAGATGGGAGCCCACCACTAGTGACGACTAGTGCATCTGCATCATTCCTCCAAAGAATATGCCTTCATGTCCCAGAAGTCGCCAATATGTGAATTCAGGAAGCCTCCTTACTGCAGAACCCAAGTTCGGGGCCAGCACATGCCATTGGATAATAGTGGAAGATCAACTGGATGTTAAACCTATCATCCGAATGCCCCGTGACACCTAGAACCACGGAGCAATTTTTTGAATTTCTCTTGGCTCGTGCCAGAACTTATCTGGAGCTCAGCCGCTTTCAGTGACCGCATCCGTGTTGGCAGGTTTGGGAGCGATGAATGGGGCTGCAGTCTACAATACATGGGCTGGTCCCTGTGGAACTAGAGTCCAGGAGGGATTTGTCAACAGGAAGCGATCAAGTAGGCCAAAGTGACAAGCCTCAACAGACTGAGTTGCTTCTGTTTCCTTTGCCTGCCAAACCAAACGGCCAGAGCTAGCTTCTGGCTGCAACGTTAAACCCGCTTCTGAAGATGGGGCCAGATGTTGGGTCAAGTCCTTGAATCCTTGCCAACGTGAGAGCTATCAAAAAACATCTTTGCCCAATCTGAAGCAGACTACTTCGTAACCAATCTATGTACACGGCCTGACATCACCGGTCAACCAGTCGAGTGGGCCAGCTGCCTACAAACCTGGCACTGGACGGTGCAAACCGGTTGCTGAGATCGTTGACTTATCATCTCCAATCCGAACACAATCAAATGTATATTTTTTTTTGATATATATATATATAAAAGTATCATATATCATGTATGTATGTATATAGTATAAATACATATTTATCATTATACTTACCCACATCAGAATAGTCTCTCTTCATGGTGTTTGTGCACACAATTCTTGAGCAGTTTCCCCTTTGAATCCTTTTGATCCATCCCTAAACGATGTCCCTTAGGCCCTTGCTACACGGAAAATAACCGCCATTACATGCCACTTCCCAACGAAAAAGGCTGAAGCACAATGATCTTTTTGGCACAGCCAGCCTAGGTGGCACGCATGCGCGAAGAGCCAAATGCCTGAGAGCTTGATGCCCACCTCAGCTGGAGGTTTCCATTCAAAAAACGTACGGCAGTTGCCAATTGCTACCCCAAAATCACGAAAATCAATCAAAAAATCCGGGTCTTAAAGCGTGATCCAAGCCCAACTGAGTCAGAAGGAGTCTGGGTCTTGAGACTTCGTAAAACTGATTTTCCAAGGTGATGTTCCCGTTAAAAGTTGCCATTGTTTTGGTTTCCATGCTAACGTGGTAAACCCAAGAATACATCATACCTGCAAGCATGCCGTTTGCTTTCCGTAAATGCATATTGATTATGGACGTTTGCCCATGAAAGGTGACTGGGACTCTGGGGCCTCTACAAGTAGAGGTTCATCATTGGTCCACTTGGGATGATCAAATGAAAACCATGGCGATCTGTCCTCAAACATCACCGCCCCAGGCCTTGCCCGACAAGGCTTCTGCAAATGTCAGCATCCAGTTGAGCATGCCATGGTCGCCTGGAAAAACGTCCAGGACTATGAGAAGATTGAGAAGGGGGGGCCGGCAGCACACACCCATTTTCTATGTCACAAAATATCGCAGGAAGACGGCAAAGGGAACCAGCCCACCCCTGTGACCGTTTGCCCCTGCCACACCTCGCGGGGAGCCCAGTGCGACATCTTCCACCGTGGGCTTCTGCACCTCTCAGCATCAACCAGAAATGAATTCTGGTTTTGGCTGCAGCGTTGTCATCTACATATCTGTACACTGTCAAAATCAAACCCGTCCAACCCCCGGGTGTCCAAGACACACGGCTATATATTATCTAAATATGCTAATGTTTGTTGATTCAATCCAATCTCCATGTCTTTTTGGCGTTTCAACACAGTAGCTTCTCATGCGCCTGGTGCAGCTCAGCCTCCTTGCAGCAGCAAGCATCTGTAATCCGAGTGTAATCCCTTCACCCTCAATGGGGGCTTAGCCAACAAAAACCGGAGCCTTAACTGACACCGGGGTCTTTTAAGCAAGAATGTGGATACCCTATTCAGTGGATTGGCTTCAAGGACAGGGAAGATCTACAGATTCTTGGCAGATGTTCCTGAAATGAACAAATCGTACTCCATACCAGAGGCTCTGCGGTGTCTGAACTATTTGGGGATGGGATTTTCTTAGTCTTACATTGGAGATACATCGGGGTTACCAAGAGAGCCTAAAATCAGCTATTGGTATGGGAATGCAACCAATGACCGTGGGAAACTCATGATCACACACAATGTTGGGAATGCCAAAACGGTTTTTTTAGGATTAAATGGACACATCACCATGTTTTTGTGTGGCCACTAAAACCAACCAAAATGATACAGTAGGAATATATAAAATCAAGAACAAGAACAATGGACACGGAGAATGATGCGTGTATGGGAGCGTCTGAAAACATTGCACCCGAAATTCCATGATGTATCATTTGAATCATCCAATATGATATTATCAGATTCCCTATAAAAATAGGGAATTGCATGGCATTGCCTTTTTGGTGATACCCCAAAAATCAGCCAACTGACCCACCCCCGACTCGCTCCTCGCGACGCTTCTCCCCCAAAGCCCGTTGCAAGGCCAGGCGCTTCTCGTGTTGCCTGGGCAGAGGTCCATTAGTATTTTCAACACATCCTGAAGGGCAGTGGGTGGGGGGAAATCCCGGTAAATCCAGTTACTTTTAAGGAGCTAAAGATGCAAAATCATGGATTTCTTGTTGAGTCTTGAGCAAGCCAAGGAGAACAATCACACATCCAACAGCTGACACGAGCGTAGCCAAGCAGCTCTTGGCGTAGAGTCTCCTGTCCGGCCAATGGAAGGCTGGACCAGCCAATTCTTCCAATCTTGCACCATCCAATTTTGAGGGCATCCCTCCTACTGTTTGTCGATGAAATCCCCACCTGTGTTGTTGTTTCAATCGGCCAAGTGGCCCAATCCTTCCATCCCACTCTCCGGATTTCACCCCGATAGCCTGCAATCCAAAGTCCGCCAAGACCTCATCCACTGCATCGCACACGGCACGGCAACTGACCAAACGGTCGTCTGAACGGCCTGTGAGGATCTCAAGGAGTCATCAGTGGTTTCAATCTTGCAGCAACCAACAATCAGGGGCACATGACCAAGAAAATTGGGAAGTTTGCTTGCATTTTGCCTCACAAAAAATGCGAAAATGGCGGGTGCGATCGGACTATGGTGGGATATAGCCTATAGCTAAACTTGAATTTGGGATAGCAATGACCAACCACTATTCATTGGTGGGTTGTTTCAACCCCCCCTCCTCCTGAAAATTCTTACTCGGGGTGGATTTTCATCTCAGGTACGAGAACCCAAATTATGCTCCAGTGTTTTGTAGCCCGCTTACTTTGGAATGGCAGGGCAAGAGTTGATGTACCATCACTATCTCCAAGACAGAAGGTGAATAATCAGAAGTCATGATTTACAGCCATATCTCTTTGAGATCTCTTCGTCCATCAAAAATGACCACAACATAACGGAAAGAAATTCAAAGCTTCACCTAGCCCCTGACATGTTCCCCCAACCCTTCAGTCTCCCTACTGGGTTGACATCCTGAACCATTAGTAACCCTTAATAATGAGTTATTAACGCATCTCCTGTGGCCTCCCCTATTCCCAAGTTTCTTCCCCACATCACCTGGTGACAATTGCAGTGAGTCCAACACGGCCCGCAGCCGCGAGGCCCGCGCGCAGCCCACCAGCTCCATCGAGCGGTGCCGTGGCTGGCTACGGAGGGACCTGTCGGAGGGGAAGGGGGAACCAGAGCAATCATGGGACCCTGGGATAAGGATGGAATAATGGGAAATGATTAAGCCACAAGAGCAGCAAGCAGTGTTTCCAATGATTTCCTCTTGGGCCTCTTGGTGAGACTAGAGGCATGGTGCCAGCTGATCATCATTGACACATTAGTCGCAACACGGTATGCCCGGAATGGTTAATTCAAAGTGGATCCAAACATGTAAGCCACCATGGTTTCATCAACGCACCAGCGGAACGCAGTACTGGTGCAGGATTCCTGCCTGGCTACATCTGCCACCATGTCTGGTGAAAACTACGCTGTAATCCCAAAAAGTGGTTGGATGACGACACCGCAATGATCCCATCTCGTCCCCATGATCTAGCAATAAGAAAGGGATAAAAGTGCTTGCAATTAAATCCCCGATCTGGTTTTGTTGGAAAGTGAGGCACTGAAGGATCGCCTTGTTAGAAAATCGCGAAGGCCACCAAGCAATGTCAGCAGATGGAGCTCGGCACGCTGCAGCGCCACAGCGTGCCGACACTCCACCTGGCAACGCCAGGAGGTGGCGAACGCATTTTGGTCAATGTCCAGATTAGTTAGGATTCAGTGAGTTTGAGCCGTTACCCACTAAGACACGAGTCTACAGTCAAGAAGAGGCAAGTTCCATGGCGATAAGAGAACCTCATTGGCTAAACATGGTACTGGCATGTTCTGGCTAACGAACGAGCAACTTGGAGCCACTCCTGAACACAGGATGATGGCCCTGCTAGCCCGCCTGCATCAGAGATGCCTCTAGGTGGCCCAGCAGATCTTCAAAGGTGCCCTCCGTTGGCTCTTCCTTTTGGTTCCGCAAGAGTCTGCTTTGGAATGGACACCTGATGTTTCCAATTCTGGAAGAGTGGGAGATTTCAGTTTTCATAAGAGCCACTGAACCTTTCCTGGTCATGTTTGTTTACCTCTTTGTTTAGACCGCCAGAAGGCTGCAAGGCAGTGTATATCAGGCTCATCAAACCCTTCATTTTGTCCAGTTTTGCCGGGCGTTTTTTGGTCCAATGTGTGACCATCATCCGAAGCGTGTCCCAAGCTCCACCCTGGTCCTCGGCAGAGGCAGCGCGCAAGGTTTCCGAGATGCTGCGGCGAGCTGGCGCCTGGTCAAGACATGCTACCCGGCTCTGTGGTTCTGACATTTCCCCCGCAACAACTGGGCAAAGCTGCCGATTGTATAACATGTTGCAAGGCTGCCCCCACGTCTCAAATTTGCTCAATCCTGAACCCGCCACCTGTAGCTCTTGCAGCTCTCGTGACTGTGGCAGCGATGACCCGATGTCAGTCTCTGGAGGCGCTGCGGCAGCCTCTGCACCAGGCTCCTCAGCCTGGGATTCTGTTGACCTGGAGGGCAGCCCAATGGCACCGGAGAGAACCCTCCAGGCTCCTAGAGTATTACAACCAAAGAAACTGAGAAAGAACGGAAGCAATGATCATCCGTAAGTCTTAAAGGTGCATATGTTGCAGTTAGTTCCAAGTTGCGAATCATTAAGCCAAATCCTAACCTGGAAAAGTTGGAGACGGAATGGGCCAAGTGCAAAAATGCCAACTTCCAAAATCTTAGGTCTCGAGTTCACTTTTTGTATACTCTGCATAACCTCATCCACCACAATCTGTCCATTCTACCCTGAAGCCCTGTAATGTCCAGTCGCTGGAGACTGCACTTTTCAGCTTTGGCACTATATTGGCAAATAATAAACACCTGAATTGCCTTCTCTGTCGGAGATCTTCATGTTTAAACTGTTGTACTTTCTTGTCAGGTATGCGGTATGCCAAAGTATAGAAGCGCAGAATTCCATCCAGCAAGTGAACTCAGCCATGGCACGAGCAGGGCATCGAAGATGGCACCAAGTCCTCCACCGGCTGCACCGCAAGGGGTGGCTCACTCAGCTCCAGAGCTGTGGAACTTCCCGGAATCTGATCGAGATCCTGGAGATGCAAAATAAATGGCGACCAAACCATGGGATTCTGGGTTTCCTTCCGAATTCGATCATTCTTCCCGTCTTCCCCGTATGATGTCAAGTTCAGCAAGGTTTCTTTGGACAAGTTTCTGTGGGATCAGCAGAGAAGTGGGCAATTCTGTGGCGAATCAACTGAGTTATAGTTGAACCCTCTGGCCAGTGATATTTGGACCTTGGACAGCTTCAACCAACCCACTTAGGATCCATGAAACTGTTCCCCTGCGACAAGGGGTGAAAGGCAAATCGGACACTGACTGTGCCTCAGAAAGCGCCACCACTTCAGAGCAAGAGAGGCCACCTGCGCAGTTGCTGCGAAGCTTTCTGCGGAATGAATTCTAAGTTTCTATTTAGTAAGTGTTGGCCAAGATTCTTTCACATGTTTCTTTTTCGAAACTTTTAAAACATGTCCTGATCCTCGGGGAAACTGCCTTGTTGAAGTGACACTAAGACACCCAGGCCGTCCTCTATCAGCGGCTGGTGAATGATGTTGGCTCTTGGCCTTCCCTGACCGCAGCTGCAAACTCTCGTCTTTGGGTTTATTTGTTGTTGCCTAAATTGAATGAAAAATCCGCCCGCACCGAAGGTGCTGGGGCGTGATCTTCCGGATGGCACTCGTAAAAGGTTACAGGTTTACCTGGGGGGGGGGGCATTTTTAGGCCAAAACCTCCTGTTTTTGATAGGTCGTGACGCTCGCCTTCAAAAAACACTGTAAAAAACAGTACGGAAGACACCTGTTCGTGAACGCGCCCGTCCAAAATCGGCAAGCGAAAAGTGAAAAAACCCCGTGTTTTTCAACTTTTTGACCTCAATTTTTTTGTTTGCAACATCTTTTTTTGCGGTTCCGCAGGTGGCCGGGCCCGGAGGCGGATTTTTGAGTTTTTGGACCCGTTTTCGGACTGATTTTCGTCGTTTTGTGATAGCAGAAACACTGGTTTTTACAGTGTTTTTCTGTTTTCTGCATGCTTGACGGCTAGCTTCAAAACTTCCAAAAACCTCGTAAATTACGCTGTTTTATGTTACGGTGTGAATGAAAACATCGTAAATACCAGTGTTTTTTGACGTTGGTTAAAAAAACACTGTAAATTACAGTGTTTTTGGCCACCTGACCCTCAAAAACCATGGTATTTGCAGTGGTTTCTGCTTCTCACCGCGCAAAAACACTGTAAATAACAGCAATTTCGCCGTTTTTTCATGTTTTTCGTTATTTTTTGAACTGCGTTGGTCCGCTATACATGGTTATCAAATTCTTCGCGTTTTTTTTCCGACAATCAGTACTTTCGGATGTTTTTGGTGTCAATGGCCGACATCATTGGCAGTTGCGAGCGGCTGCCCAACGATGCGGTGCGGGCGGTTGCCGTCGCGAAGCGACGTGAATACTCTTTTTCAACAACAACAACAACAACAACACCAACGGCAACGGCAACGGCAACAATCAACAAACACCAAAGGGGACTCCTGAAAATTGTCGCATCCAATTCTGGCACCAGCCCTACCTATAAGTCAGGCTACGATTATTTGGGGGGCCTAGCTTCCGATCATCATTACATGCCATAGCCTGGAGTCACAAATCTTCGACTGAAGCTGTACACAACGAAACTAAGGGAACAGTGTTCTCAATCCATGCCCTTCTTTCAACTTGTGCTGTTGGCACATGTTGTCAACCCCTAGACGCACCCACACACAACAACACACAAACACAAACACGTCAAGCAAAAACATAAAGCAAAAGAAACAAGGAGCAAACACACCTGCCTTTGGCTCGTACCTGGGGATAGAAGACAAGTGAGCTTTGTGGTACATCAATTGGTCGGAGGTGTTAGGACATTCTGGGGTTGAAACATCTGGCTAGGAGTCTGGAAACGGAATCATCAAAATCCAGGCCCTCAAAACAACAATTTTTTGGACATGTTTGATTTTTAGACTGGTCCAAATAACTTGACCCCAGTCTTGCCAAGGCACAGCTAAAAGGGCCAGCACAGCCACCACGAAAAGAATTCCCTCGAACTCCATGGTGTGCGAAGGCCTCGAACTAAACGCCGCGGGGTCTTTGCTTAGCAAAGTGCAGCAGCTTATAATCGCTTGAGCCCAACGGAGCCAGGATGAAGCAGCAACCTCCACCAAAGAACAAGGAACATGCTCCAAATAGTACATGTACCTGTCCCAGCGGTGGTACGAGAAATGGCTTGTCACACCACCCAAAATGTGAGAACTCGGGAAGCATTGTTTCTACCTGTGAACAAAAATCAAGGACGAGCACTTGCGGTTGGGATGTTAGACTTTCCCACCAGAAAGAAATCCATGACCCGACTGCCCCGCCACGTGCACCTACTGCCCATAAGTGGAGCATATTTTTAAACCTTCAAATGGCTGGTGCCAGCATTTAGATCGTGCTCAGCAGCATTCAGCGGCCGCATCCGTGTCCAGCTCGGCATGTATATAGCAGGTTTGGGAGCAATGAATTGGGCGGCAGTCGAGCTATCAGGTTAGGATGCAAGCCATCAAGTAGCCCAACATATTGCGAGGGGGCACCGTAGCAAACTGAGCCAATTTCACTTTTCAAGAAACCTAGTGGTACAGAATGGGGGCCATGATATCACCCTGGTGCGAGGCAAGTTGGCACTGGTGACAAGCCTGAATAGACTGAGTTGCTTCTAGAGTTTCCTTCCCTTGCCTGCCAAACCAAACGGCCATAGCTATCTTCTGGCTGTAACTGTAAACACGCTTCCGAAGACGGGGCCAGATGTTGACTCAAGTGCTTGAATCTCTTGCTGTGAGAGCTATCAGAAAACATCTTTGCCCAATCCGAAGCAGACTACTTCATACATAACTTACATAACCAAGCTATGTACACGTCCTGACATCACCGGTCGACCGGTTCAGTGGGCCGCCTACAACCTGGCAGATGGCTGGACGGAGCAGACCGGTGGGATCGATGACCAACATTGGTGCAACGTGGTGACTTCTCAGCTCCACAATCAGAAATTGCAAGCCCCAATCAAATAGAAAAACGAAATCCTGCCAAATAGTGGTTGGGCTGTAAATTACTTTTCTATCTTCTTGGGGATTGCTATAGTCTATTTGTGATGTTCGAAGCCAAATGATCTTCTGAACTTACAGTATCGGGGGTTCAACTGCCTTCACCGGATGTGTAGCTGGACAAGGTCACGAGACAACAGCTTCAGGAGTGGATCAAGCCCAGGAACACCACTGACAGTGGCTGTGATCCTATGCAGATGTCCCTCTCGCGCCTCTGCCTTTGCTCCTCCATCTTTGACTCGAGGGTGGACAGTTCCAGTGGTTCGGCATAAACTCGCTTCACCAAGACCTTGTCAACTTGTGAGCCAATGAGGTCAGAACAATCTCGGAGGATTACCCCACTGGTTTTTCACAGACAATATCATTTTCATGGTGGATCTGTTTCAGTTCCAGTCCCAGTGCTGCCCTAGGCATCCCTGCAGCTAGAAGCACTGCCATGAGCAAGAAACCCAGCTTGGCTTGGCCCATGGATCCTGGCCGACACTGAGTTTCCCAAAAGAAAACTGGTTGTGTGAATAAATTAAATAAATCTTGAATCATCAGAATCACATTCAATCTCGTTCTGCATCAGGCATGCTGATTCTTGTCGTGTACGACATGTTAAGAGCAATCGGTGCGACGAGATTGTCTCAAAATTTGGGACCCCAATCCATGCCATGGTCGTTCATCGTTTTTCCTGTTGGAATGGCCATACCAATGAATTTGGGCATTCAACTTTTTGGATCGTTTTGGATGATGCAGGTGCGGCCATGTCAAAGATTCCTCAACTTACTTCACCTGATCCGAAGCCCATCCGGCCTTTGCGGCTTTTGCTGTTCACCGCAGAGACTTTTGGATTAAAATGATTAAAACAAGCTGCTTGAGACACTGACAGCTGCAAGCATCCCAGCTTGGGAAATCTGGTCAGCACGTCCAGTGGCTTTATCCCTTTCCCATGTCGCTGGTATATAGCCGGGGTGCTCATCCAGTATTTCTTCATTGGACTTCCTTTTAAGAGTTCGAAATGGAGATCATGGAATATTCGGAATATCAGTATATCGCTACAGTATGGTTGCCTATTTCTGTCAATATGCCCACTACTTGTGCCATTTGGCGTTTCACAGGGATTGTGGTTGTCTATCCGAAGTCTATCCCTTTGGGTCAACCCAGGAGTTTGGAGGATCTTCTGCTGATTTCTCCATCCCCAGCCCAAAACCACCTGCTGTCGATGTTTGCTGAATTTGTTGCGCCCATGGGAAGCAACCTGTTATCGGCAACAGTCGGCAACAGTCGGCAATGTTTCAGAATTCACTCTCCCCTTGACAGCAGTGCACATGCCATCAACTTTGCATGACGTGCCCATCAACTTTGCATAACGTGCTTCAACTCTGTTGATCACTCAACCCAGGCATCTTAAAGATTAGAGCCTTGACAAGATTCAGTTCTCACATACAATCACTCAAGTACAACTTGAATGATTGGTTTCACGCCAACTGCCAGTATTTCCCCGCAAGGACTGGGCCGACCGCGCAGCTTTCATTTTCCACCCAGGCGGAACAGTGCCAGGCAGTATGGTCTTTGCAGCAACCCTCAGGGAAGGGAGCCAAAATTGTTTCCAGTTCTGGCAGACCCCAGTGAACCTTGGGCCACAAGACGTTATCGCGAAGATGTAGAATCTCAACCTGTGCGATTTGGCCTGGGGTATCTTGTCATCAGCAATTCTTACCAAAGATCTTGCGGCCCCTGCATAGTGCACTGGTTCTGCATGGTGCGTTGGTTTTATACCGAAGGACCACACAATTCTCAAGCTGGCAGCGCCTGTAGACACATCCACTATGGGATCAAATCAAGGTTCCGCTATTGCATGTCTTAGAGCAATCTTGTTGTAGCAGCAAGTCAATGGGATTCTGAAATGCAATATAGAACAGTTTCAACCATTTGACTTGCAAGTGCCCAAAAGTTCAGCAAACCTTCATGCAACCTTGGCTTCCTCAGATCTCAAGGCTGTCAGAGCTATGATGGGTATCTTCTACATGGTGCCGGGCTGTGCGAGGGAGATCCCACAACTCTGCTTTGACATATCAAGGGCAGTCACCCTGCTGGCCATTTTAGCACGTTGCGGGCCCTTGCAGACTCACTTTGCCCAAGCCTCGCAGTGGAACCCTTTTGACAAGCCAAATTGGCAGCCCTCAAACTAGGACACGGCAACATGGAAGAGGAAGAGTTCGGTAGTGGCAAGTGCATCTATATCACAACCACTGTAAGGTTTGGTATATAATGATATTTAATATAGCTACTGATAATATGAATAGCTGGTGTGTTTTTCCCCAAGGGCAATGTTTTCCGGTACGCTATAGTCCGCTATAGATTCTTTCAGGGTTCAAACCCTTCCATCTCACCCCGTCCAGGAACCTGCCTCAGCGCTTGGAGGACAATGTACGGGAGAGCCAATCCAATCCCTGTGTCAAACCATGTGTCTTGCGGCAGCAACAACAACAATTTAAGGTTTGCTGCCAATGTGTCCACCAATTCTGGGACATAGTCATAGTCTTCAAACATGGCAGAGGTCTACAGCTCTTTGAACAAATAGCCCGGAAAGTGGTGACAAAGTCGTGGCCAAACCCTAACCTTGCCTCGTACAATCCATCACCAGTCGTTGCGCAAGCGGATTGGATGAACCACTGGCGATGACCTAAGGCCATTGCAGCAGCAGAAAGGGCAAGAACAAGATCACGGAAAGGCAACAGCTTCTCCAGACGTAGCACCAGCAGCTCTGGTTGCTGGTTTGAGTTTTAGGGGATACCCGCACAGTGACATTCCCTTTCATGAGGGGCTCCTGCAATCCTAAACAAAACAAACCACCAGCTACTGTTGGATATATTCCGGTTTCAAACAGTGAGAAAAACATTAAACAGGTGGATACAGCATGTTATCATATACTGGATATATTCCCATTTGATTGCCTTTGTTTAATCTTTCCACCAATGGGCTGACATCCCTTCTTGGCATCCGCACGCAAGTTGTGCAGACCCAGTTTCTCAGTGACCTGTGTCATGGGTCAGATATGAGGATCCAAAAATCAGTCAGTGGTTTTGAGATTGGATTGGTAACTGTTTGTTTGAAGGTCTTGAATTTTGACCCGTACCAAATGAATGACATGGATGTCAAGATATTCATCGGGATGTTCATTGATTCTACCCAAGTTTGGAATGATCAGTTTTGACCCACACCCACATTTTTGAGTGAAACGGCTTTGAGTTATCTTCAGTCTAGAAAGACACAACGATGCATGTGAATTCCATCCAACAACCTGGAAAACCATATGGCAGTGTGTCACCCTGGTACCCCTGTAGTTCACATCAAAATAGCTGGGATTTATGGATGTTCATCCCATTAAAAATGGTATTAATAGGTATTGATCCATAGCCATATACAGCATGCCACAGCATAGCTGCTTTGCCATGTTCAACCTCCAGCAACCTTGGCTTCGCTGCCCGCCTCCGCTGCTGTCATGGCCTGTGGCAAGTCCTGGGGAAGTGGTACGGTAGCGATTTGTGGCACTCGGAATTGGGATACAAACCACGGGAGCACACGCTGGGAGTGGCTGATGTTTTGATGTTTTGGCACCTGCTTGTTGGCGAAAACCAAGAGCACCGCATCTCGCATCTCATCCTGCTTTCGACGTGACTCGGATCCGATTTCTTGAAGTGGTGCACACATGCCACAGCTCCAAAAAAAACGACCTGCAATTCCAAGAACTCGCCTGACTGCCCGGATTTTCTTTTTCAATTTGATTTTGACACTATGAGCTTGCTTTCGACGCACTGTTGATGCACAGGCACACAGAAGTGGTTGATATTGGTTGATAGTGTCCTACATTTGCTGGAGTGGGTTCAATAGCTATTGACCCATCCCCATGTCCATACTCTCAAACTGAAATAGATCTGGAACCTATGTTCCTCCCGATCCATCGACGCAACTCCTCACCTCGTTGAGCATCTTGTTCAACTCCTATTGGGTGGATGTGGCCTAGCCATTCTGGCAAACAAACCTCCGGGTGAAGAAGGAACTCCTGACATTGAAGGTCCTTCATGATTACTAGAATGCGTCTCCACCCAATTTTTTTCGAAAGCTCCATGACCAACTGGCAGCTTCTCAGCAGGGTGCCCAAAAAAAAATATCGCCAAGTGAGTTTGCCCCGGTATACCCCAATATGATCCAACATGTCAGGCAGTGAGTCCTCTCTGGCATCTTCAATGCGGTCGCGGTCATTGCTGTCCACCACGTAGATCAAGCCGTTGGTTCCTGGCAAAGCCCGGGGGGCCCAGGTGTCATGACGCTGAAGTCGTGGTCTGAGTGTGCAGAGGCAGTGTCATGTTAGATCCAAGCACTTTGTGCAGCATCAGGCTGCAGTGCACAGGCATCAGTTGATCTTCGCAGAAAATCCAGTCTCAACTCTCAGGCTTCAATGACAGACTTCAACACCTTCAGATTTAGACTCCAAAACACCAGAAAACATCGGAAACCTGTCTGTGGCGTGATTCCCAGATACCGAGACGCACACCTTGGTAGTAGTGGCGCCACAAAGGACGGATCTTGTCCTGGCCTCCGACGTCCCACACCTCGGTTTGACTTGACATTGAACCTGACAGCTACGGCTCCACTCAAACCGCCCAAACTGATTTGTTTCTTACATTTTCTTACGACATTAGCAGCACTGCACTTGTCTTGCTATGTCTTGCTGCTTGATCTGTCTAGGCACAGTGAAGCTCAGGTTCTTGTACCTAAGCAAACAAGAGCGAAAGACAGAATCATGAGTAGCTGAGCAGCTACCAGAAGTCCTTGTCCCAATGTTTTACCATGTTTGATTTCATGGAAAGGAAATGTCATCCATTTTGAGAGTGTCCTTCAACAGGTTCCAGATGCAGCTCAGAATGTGCCAACTTTTAAACGGACAGCGCTCATCCTCAATGACCTCGGCATTTGCTTTCCATACGTTGTTTCAAAAAAACAACAACGGACCACTAATGGTCAATGCCGGTTTGCGAAACCTTTCCAGCTAAGTTTCTCATGCAAAGTAAATCACAAGGTGATCTCATTGGTTCCCTAAAATGCCCATCTGGGTTTGTCTCTAAATGGGTGACCCAAACATTGCAATTTTCAGAGGAAATCTGCAACGAATTGGATATCTCATGTTCACTCAAACTCAATAGCCACACAACGAAGTGATTCAGCCACGCTGCTCGACGGTCTCGACCTCAGTAGATGGTTGGAAACGATGATGTCCCTACTTAGCTAAGTCAAGTGGATAATAAATAGGTTAACTGGGTTTGTGGAAGGTATCTTTTGGTTCAGTGGGTGTTTAAACCAGCTTGTAACTGGGGGGTCACGACCATGCGCATGGTGAGGAACTCTGTTCAAAATGTGTTTTTCAATCCAAAGTCTCAAGACAAAATTGATTACTTCAAAGTTGGCTCAAAAATTTGGTTCCTTCAAATTCTGCATATATATATATATGATACGCATCAGTTCCTTTGTCTTTAATACCCTTCAAGTTGTGTTCCCACATCCTCCACATCCAGCCGTCCAGCAAGTTCTCTCAAACAAGTTTTCCTTCTAAGCCACCCAACATTAAAGCCAATGGTTGGAATTGTAGTCACCACCTCACCCAACTTCAGCTTGTAGAGAATGGTGGTCTTACCGGCCGCCTTGGACATGGACCCAGCTGCAGGCATCGAAGGCGATGGGGCCCAGTGCATTTGGGGAATAAGGTCAAAAATGGTCAAAACACCGTTTTGCACATTCAAAAATTGTTTCAAAAACAAAAACAGTTTTTTTCGAGTGATCCCCACCGTGGTATATATGTCGGAATATGTTCTGACGTTTTATTTGGCAGATACTCTGATATTCTACCTGGTACCTGAAGACGCTCTATCTTGCATTTTATCTGACATTTGGTCTGGCATATTTGTTGATGTTCTGCTTGACATATTTTCGGGCATTTTATCTGGCATCTGACATGTTATTATGGTGTTCTTTTCGGGCGTTTGGTCTGACATATCTAGAATTTTATTTGACATCCTATCTGGTATCAGGCAGGCATGCAACAGCACTATGCCCGACGCCCGACACCCCACGACCGTGCGACGACGCGCTGAGATGCAGAGCTTTTCGCCGTCAAGGCATTCTTGGTGGGTAGGTTCAGCGGGATCTCCTAACCTTCCAGAGCATCCACTGACCCAGTCTCAGTCACGGAGGCTGGCTGCAGGAGGTTGGAGCACTTGGCTTCTAAACCATCAATGACCTTCACACAATCAGAAAAAAGAGCGCGAGTGGTCAATGCTTCAGCTTCCAGAATCGTCTTCAAGCATTCCGTGAAAAGCTCTGCAAGCACCCGCTCCAGTGGCATTTGGAGGGAGGCCGGCGGGACAAAGTTCAAATCTGACCTCTTGCGGCTCAGTCAGAACCATGAAGCTCAACATTCTTCACAGAGCACTCAACACAGGACTTCACGCATGAACCTGGCATGCTTCCTCATGAGCGATCTTTGTGCCAACCAAACCTACCCACTCTGTGCATTCTGTCCGGCATTCTATTTAATGTGTTTCTGACATTCTATCTGGCATGTTTTGCATTGCATCTGACATTATTCTCTGATAAGTTTTTTTCCGACTCTGACATTCTATCTGACATTTTATCTGGCTTTCTCTCTGACATTTTCTGACATTTATGGGGCATTGTGTTTGACATATATTATGAAATTATGACATTCTATTTAACAGATATGCTGACGTTTATTCTGACATTCTATCTGACATTTTATCTGGCTTTCTCTCTGACATTTTCTGACATTTATGTGGCATTGTGTTTGACATATATTATGAAATTATGACATTCTATTTAACAGATATGCTGACGTTTATTCTGACATTCTATCTGACATTTTATCTGGCTTTCTCTCTGACATTTTCTGACATTTATGTGGCATTGTGTTTGACATATATTATGAAATTATGACATTCTATTTAACAGATATGCTGACGTTTATTCTGACATTCTATCTGACATTTTATCTGGCTTTCTCTCTGACATTTTCTGACATTTATGTGGCATTGTGTTTGACATATATTATGAAATTGTGACATTCTATTTAACAGATATGCTGACGTTTATTCTGACATTGTGTCTGAAATTCTATCTGGCACTTTATTTGGCATTGTGTCTGGCATTCTATCTGCCACTTGATCTGGCATTCTGTCTGACATAAATCTTGACATCCTATTTTGACATACTATACATATGGCATTTCATTATTCTTATTTGCTATCTGTACCGGGTTCCATCTGGCATTTGATCTGGCGTAATGTTCGGGCCCGGCGTGCCCCAGAGAGCTGGCAAGCTCGCCATACTGTTCGGGTCGGGCACGCCCCAGAGGGCTAGCAAGCTCGCGATAGAGTGGCTGTGTAGAAGAGGCTGGCGAGCAAGCTGGGATGACGCGCTGGCAAGAAGCTGGCAAGTAAATGACGACAAGGAGGAAGGCGAAGGAGGAAGAGGAGGAAGAAGAAAGGAGGAGGCGGGATATCTTGCTAAAAATCTAGAGACCCTCACGTGGCGGTTGGGGAACAATAGCATGGGATTCTAAGCTTTCATTGGTTTCAAGGGATTCTGATGAAGGTTTAAACTGTTTCCTCCATCCTGGCAAGCATGAGAGCTGCAGGCAAGAAACGTCCAAGCCCACCATGAGGATGCGCATCTCCTGCTTGCCAATCCTGGTTGAGTTTGGGCTGAAAGCACTGAATCAATTAGTGGACAGACCAATGGAACTGGATACGCTGAACTTCCTGTCAAAGTCATACCTAGCATGAAAGGTCAAATTCTAACAACATGTCAAGACATTGCCATCAATATTTGGGCTTATTTCACCAGAACAACTGAATATCCAGCGAATTTCGAGGCCAACCACAAGCTTGCAAGAAGATGTCATCTTTACCCATGAATGATCTTTCATTTTCACTTCCCAGAAATTTCTTCCGGAGGACCGGAGATTCCCAGGGTGGGAAAACCCAAGAGATGAATTTGGCAAGTCTCAAGCGCTGCCATATTTTCGTGAAAGCGAGACCCATGGCGCTTCCGGCTCGTGAAATCCAAGCACACGGATCGAACTGCTTGAGGCAGGCAGCCAGGTTCAGACAAAGATTCAACCACACATGCCATCAGCTTGCCGTCCGAAAGGCTATCGACTCGAAAGGTCGTTGATGTTGCTCCTGCTATGTCCCTGCAATGATGGGCGCATGCTCTTTATGAATACGAATCAAACCCAAGTGAAGTCTTGGTTAACGGTTAATCTCTACTACAGGTTCTAGGTTCTAATCTCGTGTCAGATCCGCAAACGTCTCCAAGCCCCGCCCGTGGCTTCAACAAATGTCTTGCAGCCTGCCTTCACAACGCCCAGAGGGCCGGAGGGCAACAAAGTTTCACCGGCTCCGCAGCTACATTCAGCCGATAAGAGTGCTGGATGCGGCGTGCTTTCACCAACGCTGAAGCCCTGATTTGGGACACCACCACCTGATTTTGGGACATCAAACAAGTACTGAGGAATACCGAGGAATTTGAAGTTCTTGAGAGGAGGCTTGTTTTGTTTTTGCAGAAGACCAAGTTGTCTGTAAATGATCCATCTGAAAAAGGTAAATCCTCAAACACACATCTACAGTCACACACACTCCAATCATCACCTCATCAGCAACTACTCTGACTACCCTAAGCACCAGACCAACAAATGCTACGGCTTCTGTGATCACAGCCACCTGCATCGCAACATGAAGGTAGCGTATTCTGAACCTCATTTTGACCCAGGAGATGTCAAGTGTCCGACACTTTTGGAGTCCATCCAAACCTGCAAGAAACAGGTCATCAGGATATCCCGATGGCCTGCGCCGCAGCCAAGGCATCTTCCGAGGCCTCATTGGATTCCTCCAAGACCTATGGCCGCACTCCCGGGCTGTCCCAATGCCGCGGTTCCTTCCAGCCATCCCGGCGTCCGGGCACCTTTCTTAGTTCAGCGCTTGCAAGCCTGCGACAAAAAATATCAGGGGTGGCGATCATCAATACTAGTAGTAAGAACAATATGAATACTAATCATAGTAGCGATGATGATGATAATAATGAAGGTGAAACCCCAAACTGAAGTCACATCTCGATGGGACTGAGTGAAAGCTCGCCATATGCAGCCGGTGCCAGTGAAAGCAGTGGGTTTCTGGAACTCCATCTTCATTGGCTGAGACAACACATGGCCCACCAAATCGCTGACCACTTCAATCTCGGGCCCCGACGAAGTGACAGCTTCAGCCTCCTCTGATTTCTCCACTGCATCCTCCCAGCAACTTCACAGCCATTCACCGCCCCAAGGAAATTCCGAGGCCAATGGATTGTGATCAAGTCATCGAGTACCCAAGAAGAGTTTGCTTACTAAAAAGTGGCTTCAGGCATCTTAAACCGTGACCCATACTGGCCCATACTCAAAGTGATTTCCTGCAATTTGCCTGATTTGTAGTGATCCCAGCTGCTGAAACCAATATATGGCCTCTATGTCCTGGGTGTCGAAGGAGGCCCTGTGCTGACCTGGCATTGATGGTGGAAACTGCAATGGATCCAGCAGCTTTCTGAATTTTAGTTTTGAACATGTTCCATCATTTTCCAACCATCCAGTCTTGCAGGTCGAGTCATATCATATCCCTTTCGTTGTCGAGTTTCTTCAGTGTGCAACTAGGTTGACTGCAGTCACCCTGGCAGAGCTAAGAGGCACAGCCAACTGGGCGCCTTTGATCCTGCCATGGCCAGCAACTTCAACCTTGGGCGAATCGGTTGGGTCAGCAGACCAGGGTGGCTACGGTGATTCATGGAGCTATGCAGTGGGATAGTCTGGATGCCTATGGCTGTACAAACAGGTGATATACCCAGAAAATTGCAACTGGATGCGACTGGATGCAACTGGATCCCTGGCGAGCAACATTGTATCCGACTCAAACCTGTTGGCCCGTAGAATCGGACGGTTTGAAACTCAAAGCGACAAGAAAATGGAGCCCTGGTGTCTGCACCTCTAAGGGTTTCTCCGAATGCAAGAAGTTGCCTCTCCGAAGTGCATAAGGTGGTGCCTAGAGCAGAGGCAGTTGGAACCCCCAGAGCTCAAAACCAAATGTAGCATGTAGAAATCATGTAACATGTCGAAATCATATTCTGTCACCCATTTGCTGCTGCATCAAAAGGGTTCCAACGTTTCGATCTTCAAGCTCAAAGGTTTGATGGGTATTGGGGCATTTCTTGTGAGGCACGCCCAGTTGGATCTTGGCGGGTCTGAGGTTTGCACATCCGACAAGGCTGTTGCCTGTCCGTGCTTCAGAACATGTTTTTCGGATGTCAGCTCGGTCGGCAGACTTGAAAGACGTCCAACACATTCTACAAAGCTTTCTCACGTCGTCAAGTTCAAGTTCGGATCAGAACGTCCACAAGACAAAGAGTTTCCTGATTCTCAAGGTCAGGAAAGATTCCTTTACAATATGGCAACATATGGCAACTGGAGACTAAACAACTTGACATTGCACGCACATGCAGGAGTAACATGGGCTGTATCAGCCACATCAGTTGCTTCTGCTCCACAGCAAAATGTGACAATGTGGGAATGAAAGGTCGAACTACCTGCAAGAAAATATGAGGTTTGGAGAGGGATGAAAATCCTCCAGGCTGACCTGCACCAATTCCAAGCAACCTCTTCTGCTTGTGATTTTTGAATTTCTATTTTGAGTATCTGGCCATTTGTGCTGGATATATCATGATATATCCCAGTTTTTTCTAGTTTCAACCTATGTTAGGGGTGCCCATATACCCATGTCGACTTCAATCCCATCACCAAGCCACCTGCATTCGAAGTGCGGCAGTGCGACGCGGCGCGGTCAGTGCGGCTTGGCCTGGGCGGTGCAGTTGGAGAAGTTGAACATTTAGGACCCTTGAGTCTATGAGCCAATGAGTTCACCTATCCTATCTGATTATACTATACTTCGTATAGTTGGTTAATTAATACGCTTCTTTGCTTTGGGCTATAATACTCCCTAATAACCACGCTAGTATAAGTCACTAGAAATGATCAATCAACCAGTGTATTTTAACGGTTCATGTGTTTTTCTTGAAAGGGAAACAACGTAGCGGTAGCATGTCTTGACTTCCTTCCAGGAAGAAGGAATAAGCAATGCCGGTTCTTGCCTCAAAAAGGGACGGGACCAAGGTTCTTAACCAGCGAAGGGAAGTTGGATCTCAGGATTGTTCAGGGATTTACAAACATAACTTCAGCTTTGCAACTTGAGCAAGTGCTGAGTGCCAGCCTGTCAATAGGTAAGTTCAGATGGTCAGTAGTTAATATGGCTAAACTGCTCCCCTCAGAGTGGAAGGCAGCTTTAGCAACGTATTGAACACGTTGGAACGCAGCAACGTCCCCACAAGAAAACGATTCACAGATATTCACAAATATTCACAGCTTCACGCTGCATGGAATTGATGAAGGGGTGGCTCTTCCGACGCATCTATTCCGGCATTTGGCTCGGGTTTTTGGAGCTATTCCCACCTCCCCAACCTCCTTGACTTCACGAACTGTCCGGGGCTTCCAACCATGAGTCGCAACTTTGGCATCTTCCTCAGGCACTGCAAGAGCTTTGCTTTCATCCGGGAGGTCCACACCCTTCAATGAACATGGCGTAGCCGTAAATTCAGGTACTTAAATTGCTTGATGAACTCCATTCGAAGCAACTACACTACACGCATGGCACTCATGGTATAGTTCATGTATGAAATAATAGGGTTGGGATTCCAAGGTCATAGACTTCCCTCATTCCCTCGATGTCCATCGGTGCCTCAAGCCAACGATAATGCGCACCTGCCAAGATGTCGTCGTGTCAAACAAAAAGACGCACCGAGTCGATGCTAGTGCAAGATCAACAACTTTGTGCAGATGTGTGTGTGTGCGTGTGTATGTGTATTATATATATGTATATATATATGTATATATATATGTATATATATATATGTACTAGTATGTTATTCCTAAAAATTGTATGGTATAGCACACGTGATTGTACATATAATGAATAAATATATGATTAATGTGTCCTTCAAACTGCACAGCAGCTGTCGGACAGCAGCTTATGTCATCTCTGAGTCAGCCGATGCGTCACCTTGACCGACTTGATTTAACCTTGGTACCAGAGGGATCCAGAGGGTACAAGCAACGGATCCGGAATGAGAAGAGTCCTAAAAACCAAAAGCGTCGGCAGTCATACTAATAGTTACTACCCCAAAACGCCACTTGGCTAGCACAACTGTTGGAAGATTTCATCCGTTCATGCCCAGTACAGTATATGCACACTTAACTTCGAAACCGCCTGAAGACACCAACGCCATGAATCTATTGAATCAGCACGGTTCATCATGATGTTCCTAGAATTTCATGACAGCTTCATCGTAACATGGTAAAGCATGGTGAAGCCAATGATATTCCAATGGAATTGTTTTCAACAATATAATAGACAATAACCAGAAGCGGCAACCCGATGGACAATGACCCACTAAGAATAACATCATGCTTTGGACCAACGATAATCAGAATAACTAGCAGAAATGATAATAAGAATGAAAATGATACGTACTACTAGTATCTACTAATAACAATTACAATAGTGATAATCATCGTAGTCATCATGGTCATCATTGCCATCATTGTCATCATTGTCATCATACTTATGACTCATGCAAACATTCATAGCCATTATTTAAGAACAAACACCAGTCATAACCCAACTAGGTACACGCCGCACAGACGGCCGTGGCATTTCGGTCACTTTTTGCAACTCGCACTGACGTTTGTTCATCAGCACTTCTTGCAAGGAACATCTGCGTATCTTCGTTTCGTCCCACCTCTTTCAATGTTTCAGGAGACGTTGCAGTGCAGTGAAGGACTGAGTTGGTGACATGGGTCCTTGGTGCTGTCGCCAAGCCCATTGAAACACGAGTTCCGAAACTATTGGAGAAAGAACACTGTGACCGTCCTTCTTCTGTGTGGCATTGATATGAGCAGGGAGCCATTCAAACTTTAAGGAACGCCATGCCCTGTCTATCATTTGAGTGCCTGCCAGACAAGGACGAGTGGAAGCTTTTTGAGCAGTCTTGCGGGTAAATTGTTTGCGTTGGTGACACACAGCTTCCACTTCGAACTTCTTTGCAGCACATGCCCCACCCCACCCCAGCCCCTGCCCCACATCCTGGCAGTTGCGGAACATCAACAACGTGTGCAACGTACAAGGAACGTTAACATGCCCCACCCCACCCCAGCCCCTGCCTCACATCCTGGCAGGTGCGGAACATCAACAACGTGTGCAACGTACAAGGAACGTTACCATGCCCCACCCCACCCCAGCCCCTGCCCCACATCCTGGCAGGTGCGGAACATCAACAACGCGTGCAACGTACAAGGAACGTTAACATGCCCCACCCCACCCCAGCCCCTGCCCCACATCCTGGCAGTTGCGGAACATCAACAACGTGTGCAACGTACAAGGAACGTTAACATGCCCCACCCCACCCCAGCCCCTGCCCCACATCCTGGCAGGTGCGGAACATCAACAACGTGTGCAACGTACAAGGAACGTTAACATGCCCCACCCCACCCCAGCCCCTGCCCCACATCCTGGCAGGTGCGGAACATCAACAACGTGTGCAACGTACAAGGAACGTTAACATGCCCCACCCCACCCCAGCCCCTGCCCCACATCCTGGCAGGTGCGGAACATCAACAACGCGTGCAACGTACAAGGAACGTTAACATGCCCCACCCCACCCCAGCCCCTGCCCCACATCCTGGCAGTTGCGGAACATCAACAACGTGTGCAACAAATGGTGAAAGGCACACGGCCGTCTATGCGGCGTGTGCCAACTATCGACTCTAAGAGAGACCACCTCCTGTGGCTCAGCCCCCGCACCATCCCAAGGGCTCCGATACCTGGCGGAGCACCTTGGGTGTCGCGCAAGCAGCGGTGGTGAATGAATCAACCCATGGGGTGAATTCACTTGAATCAAACCATTGGCACCTACCAATGACCACCAGGGGATCAGACTCCTTTCCCCATCGGCAGGGACGACACAGACGAAAAAGGTGTAGAATTTGTCAGGTGCATCATACGTGAAAGTCCCAGTTGACCTCACTGGGTAGTGGTAGCGCCATTGATATCTGGTGGTAATTGGGATCGGCGCACTACTCCCCATGAATTGATTGCAGATGCTGGAGATCTTGTCGGGGCAAGGATAAAGTTGTACATGTTCGAAAGGAGTTCCTATTGGTGTTTGCGCTTGCCATAGGATTCCAAACGTGTGAAAACATGTGAAAACCAAACTTGAAGTAAATTCACAACAACTGAGCATCAGGAAGAATCCACAATTTCAATCACATCTCACAAGTACAACAAAGAAGATTGCAATATCCTGCAGTGCCGTTCTTGAGCCCAGACGGCGGGGCTAAAGAAAGCGCTCCTGTGCCTAATGGCAAGAGGCCACCAAGCTATGGAAGTAGCAGATTTAAGTTCCGAATGGATGAGCCAGTTTTTTGCAGGCCAACAAGCCAAGAAACATCAGGTAATGGTTGTTTGACCACAAGATATCACGTATTGGATAATATATTATATATATATATACAATATATATATATATCAAAAAATAGCACGCAGCGCAGGGTTCTGGACCTTGTCCATGATGTCTGCGAAAACACCCAGTTTCTTCGCCTCTGTGATGACGCACATCCTTCGTGGGATCGCCGGTCATCCCATCATGGGGAATCCAAAAAAAGGTCCTAACGGTCCTGGGTATATACCGCTGAGGAATGACCATGCCACATAACCCACATACTGCAAAAATGAATCAATATGAATCAAAGTAGAAATCCAGGTGAATCCAGGTGTTGAATCAGTGAAAATCATCATTTTCCCAATTAAAACAACCACTTAAGGGGGGATACCCATTTTCAGACAGATCCATGTCCGGTGATGTTTAAGGTTTCAAAATGTTTGGTGCAATTGGACGACCTGTCCAATGGGACACAAAGCATGGACCAGATTGGGACGGTGTTTCTCTTTGTATCTATACATGGAATGTTTGTTTCATAAAGACTGTTTTGCTGAGTTTGTGCACATCGAAATTGTTTATTGCTACCTTGCCCTTCCCCCCTTCCCCATGTCTTGTGGAACTCACCAAAAATGTAGAGGCCAGTTCCCGAGACGAAGAGGAGAAACACCGCAAAAACGACGCCTGCACGACCGGGCTGCGATCAGCTGCAACACCACTCACCAGTTTCAACTGACTGGGCGACCCCACCATCAAGAAATCTGGATGGAGCGACAATCTGCATGGCGGTCTGTGGCCTCAACAAGTCACCATTCAGGGGTTGACAAATTCGGTTTTGTTCAAGGTTCGAACATGTTTGTTTCAACAGTATTGAACCCGTTGTTCAGGGCAACCCAGGGAAATTTCACAATGACCGCATGATAAATGATCGTTACCTGGAGGAAACATCCCAAACTAGGACAATTTTTGGTCGGTGAATTTTTATGTGTATATGGAATGGCAAATGCTCTTCCACAACAATGAAATCAATAGTGGTTTTGCTGCAAACATTCATGTTAAGCCAAAATAATACAATATGCACATTAATTAGGATACTTTGATTGGATCCAAAAATGGCTAAATAATGCAAATTCCATTTACTTGGAAAAACACCACATGTGTAAGAAACCGGCTGGGCAGCGCTGTTGTCGCTCCGGTAGGAGTTTCCTTAATCACAAAACCTTCGACAATTCGCACTGTTCGAAAACATAACCACAAACACAAAACTAAACGAAATGTTTTCTTCGCTGTCCAAAACAAGTTTTGTAGTCACGATGTTTGTTCTCATGCAGACAGGGCCAAAAAACATGGATATCAAAACCATCCACAGCTGTTCGTGGAATAAGATTATGCGGCCGGTTTTGTCATTCAAAAATTTGACAACGCAAAATTGATTGATGTTATTTCAATAACGCAACGCTGTCCTTGTTGATAGTTTTGACACGTCACAGGTGGGAAATTTAGTCTTTGCGGGTCCGTGGAGAACACCTGTTTTGACCTGTCAATGAAGTCATGTGTGAACCGAAAACCAAACAATGAAATACTGAATTGGATTGTTTGAAATTCAAAAAATAATTTCGTTCACGAGGCGGTTTGAACGCAACTCACTTTTTGTTGCGGGCTGATATGGAGCATGACTTGGATGGTTTACGACGGCAACAACGGCAAGAATGCATGAAACACAACCACCAAAAAATCAAAACCACCAGACAAAACAACACCTGTATAACATAAACAAAAGCAATGCAAACAACAACCCGGGTTTTGGCAAGGTAAGTAACACTGCCATGTTTAAGCCTGGTTCAAAACCTGCACCCCAAAAATCATGTTTGTTTGTAAAAGGTTTTTGGATAGGCATGCCAAACAAATAAATATTTCAAACTATTTTTCGGTTTGAAACCAAAACGTTGCATGCCTCGCAAATGAACCAACGCATGGCATATTTTTATGTTCTGTCGAACATTTAAGTTTAGCCAATGAAATTTTTGCGTCCAAACATGAGTTCGGTTTAGCGATGATCAAAAGAGGTTGGGAAGCAATCTTCCAAGTGACGGGCAACTTGTAATGCTGCACGACAATACATACACAACAATACACACATAACATCAAACACAGAACAATACACACACTAGGCAAGAACTGGATCATTGAAGTGATCCGTCGGGAACTGACTCCCAAAACGTGCAATTAAACAAAACTATTGATGTAAGCCAGAAATTGAACCTTTTTGCAGGTACGTCGGGATGATCAGTCCCGATATCACAATCGCAAACCACCGTCTTCAATGGGCAGTGGATGGAATGAGATTCACTGCACCCCCCCATCTAATGATGCAAAGACTCAGGCGAAAACGCTGCAGTCTATTTTCACTCGTGCCAAAAGGGTCTCACAAGTTTAAACTGCACATGCTGTTCATGTCAGTCTATGAAGTGAAATGACAAATGCAACTCTCTTATCGATTTGTGCGTGTCATCCTGGCACATGTGAGTGGGCTCCACAACTTTCCACACTCCTCCTTTGTGGTTTGAGCGTGGCTCATTCCACAACTCCAAAATTTTCACTTCTCAACGCAAATTTCAGCTCTGCTGTCTGACTCTGCATCATCCAGTGAAAACGTTTTCGAATTCAATCTTTCAACTCATCAAGCTCTGCATGTCTTCGACATAGAGCCTAAACCTGTCTCGGCGTTCATCATCTCCTCTGTTACGGTGAAAACGATATAGCCTCTGGAATATGTTTCTGATCTCATTTGAAATTCTTGTACTGAATCCCTCTGTTAGAGTGGAATCTAGCACCAGACAAATTGCCTGCTGAATCATGCTGGCCTCATGCCAGCGTTCTGCTGCAAGAGCTTGGTTCTGATCTGCCCTCATGTTCTGTAAGAGGGCTTCCATTCCAGTAGGTCTATTGGATTGGTTGTCCTCCACATCTGTTGTCGGACTTTCTTCTTCTCCTCCTTCGTGATCTTCTTGCTGATGTACAATTGGGTCAGTTGAATCTGCATGGTTTCTATGATTCCAAAGCACCAGGTTTCCTCTTTCTTGCGTTAGCATGTGTCGATACTGCTCGGCTGTCAGTTTAGCGTTCCTGACAAAACCACCTATCTCCATCAGTCCATACCTCACGCAATTTGAGGTTTCCTCCAGAGCATTGAAACCTTCTATAGTTTCCTGTTCAAAACCAGTCTGTCTAGCCATCACCGTGTCAATTCTGTTTGACGCATCTGTTGCCAAAGCGTTGCAATCTTCTATTCTTCCATTCAAATCAGCTGCATACTCATAGTGATCGGCTAACTGGATCTGGGCTTGCTCCAACTCGTTTGAAACTCCCAGCACTTGGTTCTCCAGTTTCTTGATTTTCTCTTCAATCCACTTCCATGCTCTGAATGCCAGCTTTGAAATCACAGTACCCATGCAAATCACCAAAAACGCAATTGCAAATGAAAACCATGATGTGTCCTTGGTCTCATTGTCCATGTTTGCGCAACTTGACTGCGCCATTGCCGCAACCGGTCCTGCTGACTCAAGACCCCCAGCAACTCCCATGGCAATACTCATGCGTAAAATGGCTTTGGAAATTCTTTTCAATTGTTGGGAATTCAATCTCCTCTCATCTTGAATTGCATGCTCATTTGCTCCAACCCTTGAAAAGTCTGCAATGAAAACCAGTTCACATTCATATAACAAATAGAACAACCTCTGTCTGCTCAAAGCTTTTGTCCCGATGTCTGCCACGTTGAGAGTAGTTGGAACCTGTCGAAGTTTGAAGGTATTGTCAGCTGTCTTCTCCTGTATCCATAACAGTTTTCCCGACAGATGCCTCACCTTACCTGACCCTTGCCTGCTTGCCAATTGCCTTGCTGAGCTTGAGTCGGTAAACTGAAAATGTTCCAACTGTTCATCCAAAACAAAAGCAGCACATGCCTTGATGAATATCCCATCGCAAACGCAGCTAACCAAACTATGAAGTTCACTTTCACATGAGCTAAGTGATACAACTCGTTGACTTCGGCTGCTTGAATACATGAAACATCCATTGATGAAATGTATCCCACATGATGTTGAGCGACGTGTCTGCTTGTTTGCACTCCAATCGGCATCGCTGAAGCTCTCAAGTACCCATCGGTGTTGTCCACCAGAAATAACCTTTCCTTGGCCATCTTCAGGAAATGGCAGGTGCAAACCAATGTCCCCCACAGATTTCATGAAGCCTACCATCTTGCGTAGGCGTGCAAGTGAAGTCAAAGTGGGAGCACTCATGCATGACGCCAGCTCCTTTATGGTATACATCAAATCTGGCCTTTCACGGCCTGCATACAGACATAGGCCCACAACTGAGCGGTATCCCTTGGAGTCTTTCTCTGAAAGTCTTTGAGAATTGTCAGGCAACTGGATACTTGCATCGCATGGCACTTTCTGTGATCGTGCCGATCCAAACATCCTCTCAAACAAAAAACCACTTTGTCCACAGTTGTACCCGGGGCTAAAACTAGGCCATCTTCAACCTCCATAATTTTCCTCCTCAAGAAGGTAATGCTTGATCCTGGGCCTTTCAGCTCATCATGACTTACTGAAAATCTCTCTTTCATCTTCTTCAGAAAAACGTTGTTCCAGAAAGATTTCAATCCCACAAAAAGGATATCATCGACATGTATCATGATCGAGGCCTCAGGTGTCCTTGCCAAGCATGGTTGCTCCGGGCAAAACTCAAAATTCATGCTTTCCATCAAGAATGATTTCAAACACAAAAACCACTGTTTTGCTCCAAGACGTTGGCCTGGGAGATTTCTCTTTATGATAAAAGGCTGTCCCTGCAAAACCACACGCACCGGATCATCTTGTTCAACCTGCAGAAAGGCATCACGCACATCCAAGCTTCCCATAACAACATCGTAATCCTCCTTGCATGCTGTCTCACAAATCTTGCTTTTCATTCCAAGATATTTCAACTGCAGAAGGTTTGCTGTATGGGTTCCAGTGGCAGGACTGAAAGTGTCCAATCTTTTCGTTGTTGCAAATTCACGCGCCACCAGTCTGGATCTGCGCATCCATCTTTTCCTTTCACCTTCACCTTCTCCATAAGACTTCAAACGCCAATCCCTGACCATCTTTGTAGTCAAAGAACCTGTGATTTCGCCTTGGAACTCGGATTGTGGCACCAAGACTTGCATGCTGCACAAACGGTCAATCTCCACCTTATCTGCAAGGTCATCAATCCATTTTTCTGGACTACCAGGCGCGGGTTGATCTACTGGAGCGTCTGACCACAAATACTCTGGAATTCCAATCAGCACAACCGCATCTTCACCAACCCAGTCTTCATCCTCTTCAGCTGATTGTTCAAGATTCAAATCTGTCTCATAATCATCCATAGTGAAGTACTCTTTGTAGGCAATCTTGACAGCACACAATCTCTGCTCGTATTCAGCTTGTAACCTGGCAATGCGCTGTCTCTTTGATTCATCCAAACGTTGCCTCTTTGAAGAGTCCTCATCTGAGGGTTCTGCTGCTCGAGATGTTGCTGGCTCTCGAGGGCTTTCAATCTCTATATAGTCCCTGGGCGGTGTCACCGGCACTGCAAGACCTGGATCCCCTGACATATCATCTCCAGTATTGGTCAAAGGTGGATTCTCTGCTGTCACATGGATTGGTCCACTAGGTAATGCAGGACCATCATCATCCACAACCTGCATACCTTCCAGTTCACCTGCAACTCCTTCACCAAGTTTCTCTCGCAAGCCAAACTGAGTGGGTCATTGGCTGACATGTGCAACTGCTCCTCCTGCGCTTTCTGTTCATCAATTGCATATTGAATCACTGCTTCAGCATCTTTGTCGTGCGATGCACTTTCTTCAATTGGTCCCAGAGGCACCTCAAACGCAACTGACTTCGGCACTGGTTTTCTCATAGTTGGCAAGATTCTTGCTCCAAACCCAGCTTTGTACTGC